AAGTTCCCCAGCAGGTAGATTTCTAACCTCTTTTTGAAGATGTCCAAAGAAGGAGATCATACCACCTCTCTAGGCAATTAGTTCCATTGCTAAACCACTCTTGCTGTCAAAAAGTACCTTCGAATGTTCAATAGAAATCTACCCTCCTATAACTTAAAACCATTAAATTTGATTCTGCCTTCTGGAGCAGCAGAGAACCTACCTCTTTCTCTCTATTGAAGCCCTTGCAGTATTAAAATAGTGCTATCATGTCACTCCTCAGTCTTTTCTTTACCCTGCTGAACATGCCCAGCTCCTTCAACTGCTTTTCACATGTTTTGTTCACCATACCGCTTATCAATCTTATTGCCCTTCTCTGAACTTGCTCCAGTTTGTCTATATTCTTCTTAAAATGAGGCACCAAGAACTGAACACAGTACTCCAGATAAGAAGTGACCAGAACAGATTATAGTGGGATTTATACTTCCCTTGACTTGGAAACTATGCTTCCATTAACACAGGCTAAAATAGCATTCTTCTTCTTTGCTACAGCATCACACTGCTGGCTCATATTCAACTTATGATCAACAATAAGCCCAATGTCCTTTTCACATGTAGTATTACTGAACCATGTATCCAGCATCGTATACCTATGTACTTGGTTTTTGTGACCTAAATGTAGAATTGTGCATTTGTCTCAACTAAATTTCATTTTATTAACTTCTGCCCAATTTTCTAGCTTATCAAGGTCCTTTTTAATTCTATTACTATCTTCCAATGTGTTAGCCACCCCTACCCCCAGTTTTGTTATCATTTCCAAATTTGATAAGTATTCCCTTTACTCCAGGGGTCGGCAAGTTCCCCTTACCTGAGGCCGGTCCAGGGATCCCCTGGTCTACCGCGGGCCAATGGGGGGGGAATGGCAGCGCATGCACAGTACACAGTACACCGGAAGTACTGCGCATGCGTGATCGAGTCATTGTCGCCATTTTGGAAAAAGTACTGTGGAGTACTTTGGAGTACTGTGCATGTGCAAATGAGTCGCAGCTGCCATTTTGCAAAACAAAATGGTGGCCGCGATGCGTGTGGCAGGGGTCAATGGGGGTGGTGGCGGGGGCGGTGGGGGGCGGTCCAAAGGCCTCAGGAGGCTGGCCCCGGCCCGCAGGCCGTAGGTTGCCAACCCCTGCTTTACTCCATCATCTAAATTACTGATAAAAATGTTGAAGAGTAATGGCCCTGAGGCACTCCACTCAACCCCTTCTTCACATTTGAAGTACAACCCTCTTTGAGCATCGTTTCCAACCAACTGTGAATCCATCTGATGGTGTTTCCATTTATTGAATATTTAATCTGGATTTCAGCAAAGCATTTGATAAGGCCCCTCAAAATATTTTGTTTGCTAATCAAAATGTTACGGAGGACCTTATCAAATGCTTTGCTGAAATCCAGATAAATGACATCCACAGCATTCCCACCATCCTCTAAACTAGTGATATGATTTTAAAAAGATATAAGATTAGTTTGGCAGGATTTGTTTTTGACAGACTCATACTGCCTCCTACCGATCACTGCATTGTCATCAAGATACTTGCAGATAGAGTCATATGTAATCTGCTGTAATGTTATTTTTTTTTTCTGGTATTGATGTCAGGTTTGGCCTGTAGTTTCCTGGATCTTCCTTGCCCTCCCCCTTTTTTCCTTTTTTTAAAGAGAGGGACAATGTTTGCTCATCTCGTCTTCTGGCATCTCACCTGTTCTCCAAGATTTGTCAAGAATGATGGCAAGTTGTTCTGCAAGTATGTAAACAAGTTTTTTCAATGCACATTTTGAGCTTTAGTTTTCCTTACACTATTCCTTCACATTTGGGCTACACATCTGTATTCTTCCTTGGCAATTTGTGTGTGTGTGTGTGTGTGTGTGTGTTTACTTTCTCTTCGACTTTACTGTGCATCCACTTTGTCTTTTTCAGATGTTTCTCTTTTTTTCTTCCATAGAATTGTTTGTGATTGTACTTTTAGCGGTTCC